AACACAGCGTGCCTACATAGTACTACTACTACTACTACTACTACTACTACTACTACTACTATTACTACTACTACTACTACTACTACCACTACTACTACTGCTGCTGCTGCTGCTGCTGCTGCCACTGCCACCGCCACTGCTACTACTGCATCTGGGGCGTACCTCTGCTACTCCTGGTGCTTCTGGGGCAGTTCTGTCAAAGCATAAGGCCCTCACCATTGTGCGACAGGACGAAAATGATGTGCTGAATCCCGCCCCTGCCGGCTTCGGGACTCAGGTCTTCGCGTTTGCAGCGCGCAGCTGTCAGGATCTGTGGCGTTCACCCTAAATATTGAACACCCCTGTACTGTACCCTCGCGGTGGTTCTGCATATGCTTGGCAACAACCGGCCCGAGCTTGTGGCTGTCAGTCCTTCTGAACTGCCACAAGCAGAAACAATGCAATAACTGCCGCATCAACCGAAGATCACCATCTTGATCATCATCACGCTCGTTCTCGTGCTTGGAAACTAGCACTAGCACTAGCAACAGTAGTAGTAGCAGCAGCAAGTGGACTTCACAGTAGTAGCATAGCAGTCGTCGTCGACGTCGTCGTAGTACTAGTAGACGTAGTAGGAGTAGTAGTAGTAGTAGTCGTCGTCGTCGTAGTAGTAGTTGTAGTAGTAGTAGTAGTAGTAGTAGTAGTAGTAGTAATAGTAGTAATAGTGCAGATTGTAGCAAACGTAATAGTAGTAGTAGTAGTAGTAGTAGTAGTCGTCGTCGTCGTAGTAGTAGTAGTAATAGTGCAAATTGTAGCAAACGTAATAATAGTAGTAGTAGTAGCAGTAGTAGTAGTAGTAGTTGTAGTAGTAGTAGTAGTAGTAGTAGAAATGGTAATAGTAGCAGTAGTAGTAGTAGTAGTAGTAGTAGTAGTAGTAGTAGTATCAGCAGCAGCAGTAGTAGTAGTAGCACCACCACCACCGCCGCCGCCACCACCACCACCACCACCACAACCACAAAAAAGCCATTGTCAAGACAAGAGTGATACCTCGTTGTTGCCTTGGTCAGCTTCATGACCCGGTTAAGGCTCTTCACCTGCCACTACCAGCCGCAGCACGATATCGGCCGACGGCTCGTAACCTCTGAGGCGACGGCATGTACTTGATTCCATGCAGCCATACGAAGACCGGAGAACAACATGGCCGAATGTGCGAGACTGGTTTTAGAGTGAAATAGAGCTGGAGATAGTAGTCGTCGTAGATGCTATGCAGCTAGATACTCTTCTCAGTAGCCTGACCAGCAGGCTGATTGGCCTGTTGACGGGCCGACGGCGACTCGGACTGCACCGGAGTCTGATGCAGATCACGGTCGTTATCGACCCGTTGTGAGTTGGACAGAAAACTTTTTCGGGGCAGGTCAGGCCTCTACGCATTGCTCACATGCAGAAGCTTCTCGGGCTTTCCGCATATCCCCATAGTAGTCCGCTCTGCAGTCCCATGCCCTTCAGGGGGTCAAATTGCCAGCCTACCCACACCTGGGGCCCACAGCACCAGGTCACCCTGCTCCGCTTCATGCGGCACTGGGACTATGAGGCTCCGAAGGACTGGCTAGGATATCGAGCCTCGGCCAGCATCTCATCGTTGCCCGGGTGTGGGTGTGTGTGTGTGTGTGGGCGTGTGTATGTGTGGGGGTATACATACAAAACTATATATATCTATACCTATCTGTCTCGAAACAAATGGGTATATCTACATCTTACCCGTGTCTATATCTGTAATCTTTCTCTATACACATCCACACACACTCGTGCAAACACTTGCTCCACAAATGCTTGCAGGTAGCCTGTTTGTTTACGAGTGGCGATATCGTTGTTGGATAGACATCTACACGCCTACACATAAGTTGATCTGCCAGGTGTATACACATATGACTGAATGGATGTCTGAATACATGCATGGATGTATAGGAAATGTAGCGCAATGTAATGCAAGGTAACGTAATGTAATGTAATGTTACATGTAATGCAGTGCAATGTAATGTACTGCAATGTAATGTCATGTGCTACAACGTAATGGTAATGTCATGGTAATGCAATATGGTAATGGTTGTGTAATGTAATATTGTAATATGTTATATGTTATATGTTATACGCTATATTATGTTAATTATACTATGTAATGTATGCATATGCATGTACGCATCTGTGTCTGTGCATGTGTATGCATATGCGTACGTTCATACACGTGTAGCAGAAGTTGACATAACCCGACCATGCTGACCATGAGCTTCTTGGTGAACAGACAACAGCTGTGTGCTTGAAGTTTTCCACCAATTGCGCCAACAGCCAAGGACAGCTCCCTGAGTAGCCTGCTGCAAGGCCATGTCAGCGTAGCTCATTGCATTTCGTAGCCCTCTCTTTCAGGTTCGGTGGTATGAGAAGCACTTCGTTCAGTTTTCCAAACATGGAGCCATTGCGAGCAAGATACGACCAAGCGGAGGAGGGATTAGTTGCAACCCCAGCAGGTTGGCGTGTTTGGTCATGATCTTGACAGCAGGCAAGATTCTGCGATCTTTACGGTCGCATATTCGCGGAATGGCATAGCCAATAGAAGTTGTAGAAGGCTGACAGACGTGTCCTTTCAGGTGCTCTTGAAAAGTGGACTGCAAAACGCTGCCTTTGGGTAGGCGGCAAAGATCAGGAGAAACGCGGTGCATACAATAGCTTGAGGTTTGATGTTTGTTGCGCCATGTGACTATCCGTCAGAATCCTCAGCCGAACCCGAGGAAACTAGGCATGGCCTTGCTGTGTTGCAACCGAGCACCACCTCCATGTCCCTAAGGGTCCAAGAAGGATTCGACCAAGCTTGAGGTTCTGAATAACTGTTCCAAGGATTCTCACAGAGCCCCTCGGATCGGACCCTTAGGGTTTTTCTTATCCTGTGGTGGAGTGCGTTTATCCGGTCAGGCTCAGCGCTGGATAGAAACACAGCAAGCATCCAGCAAGCCCTGTGGCAGACCATTTGCATACATATTCAGTGTCACTTTGAAGGCACGAAATCTAGGTCGGAGGCAGCCGCTAGCTTGCTAGCTCGCTGGCTGGCTGGCTGGGTGGGTAGGTAGGTAAGGTAATTAGGCAGGTGGGTAGGTAGCTACTTACTTAGTCAGTTAGTTCGTTACATAGTGAGTGACAGTTAGTTCGTTCGTTCGCCAGTTAACTCGAGTGTTGACTGGTGTACGTAAGAATGCCTTTGCGTGTGCATATGACAATGCATGTGAATTTGCACGCGATGTTGCGCATGTGTACCTTATGTGTGTATATGTATGTGTATATGTATATGTGCATGCATGGATGGGCGGAGGGACGGAGGGATGGATGGATGGATGGATGGATGGATGGATGGACGGGTGCAGGGATGGAGGGATGGAGGATGGAGGGACTGATGGAGGGATGGCTGCATGGATGACGGATCAAGGGTAGTGTCACTGTAATGATAGCCACGTTGTTCAAGAGCATCCAACAACCCAAAGCCAGGAGCATGTTGACCTGTAGCCTTTTTTGCTGTAAGTAATGTATTTCCCAAGTACTGTGGATGATTGAAAGTCACAACCCCTCAGCATTAGGAAGGGTGGGAGGTTTTATGAACAGGGGGAAGCGATTAGGTAGTCAGACCCTATATTGCTTACGGCCCAGATTCTTAACAATGAGATGCACCTATGCCTCATCCCAACACCGTAGATTCTACCCGATTCTCCAACAAGCTGCTTACCTCTATGCCGTTAAACGCCTGGTCGGACCACGAAGCTCGCATTCTGGCTGCCGGAAACTGGCGGCCGGAATGATATCATCCTACCCGTGGTCAGAGTACGTCAGCCCGAAAAAGAATCTGCCGGCAGCTCCTACGGACTGGAGGTCACACCTGCACAGGGGATTCACGAGATACAAGTTGCATCAGGAGACTCGTCTCGTCTTCGAAGTCGGGCAACTCCAAGCCCAACATTAGGGAATTCCCAGCGAAGTCTTCGACAGCTGGAGGACGAGATACGCAGTCCTTTCACTTCAGTCACAACCAGCAGAGATTTGGCCGCGGCAGGAGTGCTGCAGTACTCTGACAGCCAGGGGTGTTAATTTTCAATGCTCTGAAAAGTACAGAGCCCGATGTACCTTGGACGTTATTTCAAGCCTAGGCTTGCGCAAGCAGGCCTTGAAACTTCGCTTCAACTTAGGCAAGCCTAGCCTAAACACGAACCCAAATCCTACATTCTGATAAGAGGGATGCTTCCCACTGTGGCCTGGGCGATGTTTCACCCCAGAACGCCATGTGAATCGGCCTTGCAGAGGGACTCGTCTAATTGCACACGAATGTGGCGATTTCATGGACTCCCTATGGTGAGTGGGTGTGTGTGTGTGCGTGCATGCGCGTGTGATTCTGTTAGCGTCCTTCTAGCATTCGTCGTTTGACATTTCAGGGATGGAACCGAGAGGCTTGCTTCCCAACGGCGGTTGATAGGCGTTGCCAAGAGAGTCTCGAGAGCCCGACCCTCTACATCGTCCCCGTCAGTATCTCGTATCCTTCATTCCTGCCTCCTCTTCCAAGGATTCCACCGATTCTACCGTTTATGTCGGGGCCTCTGGAAGGCTATGCCACGTTACCCACCTGAATGGTCGGGCCGCTCAGAATTTGGCAAAAGGAGTGCTTGTCCAATTGGGTGAGGGTAGCCTGTCGCGAATCTTGTGCGCTTGCTAGTCGTTGGTCCCCGGCCCTGTGGCTCTCATGAGGGAGTTTCCGAAAATTAGGGGTAGCTTATTTTGGGGCCCTTATAATAAGGATCCTACTATTTGGGGTACTATATTAGGGTCCCCTATTTAATTAATGGGGGCCCGTGTCCCCCGCGTCGAATGTTTTGCCTCCGAGCAATCTGGTTGTCTAGTTTGGGCTTCGGGAGATTATGCTGGAGCTTCAAGAAAGACTTTCAGGTGATTGAACAGAATGAGCAAAGCTGCTTTTCGCACGGTATCCCGGCCGGTTGGTTTTCAGAAGCTGTCTGCATTCATTGCGCTGGCCTGGTTCCGATCTCCAGAATGAGGCTGTTTCTGATCCGAAACGAGAGAGAGGGAGAGAGAGAAAAAGGCGCCATAACAGATGGGGGGCCCATGTGGCCGAGAGACCTCACCAGTCCCTCATGCCCAGTAGCTCAAGAGAGAGAGCGAGAGAGGAAACATGAATGAAACAAGATGCGGCGGCTCCCTACATGTTCAGTCGTCCATCCACAGCAGCTTAGCACAGCAAGCTAGCGGCATAGGGCACAGGGGCCATCAGGTCAACTTAGCTATTCGCCTGAAAGTCAGCCTAGCCGGCCTTGCCTCGAACACGGCAAAGCAAGCCAGCCCTATCTAACTCATATACATATATAGGTTTAGGGTTTAGGGTATAGGGTTATATATATATATATATACATAAGTCTTTGACGTGCACTCGCCGCAATCCGACGAAGCACAGAAGAATATGTCCTGAGATGCACTCGACTGTGAAGTACCTGAGCCCTATGTAACTCACAACTCGTGGCATCGGCACAGGCCGACGAAGCCAATGCAGAAATGCCTTAAGCCATGGCAGCCGCGAGCGACGGCGATGAAACGTTGGCGGATTCAGTCGCTGACGACTTCCAAGCGACTTGGCATGTAGGGATCAATATTATGTCTTCAGGATGCGCTGTGAAGTTCAACCGCCTCACACAGCCCACGCAAGTACCTTTCTGAGCCCTACATAGTGACGGCATTGCAAGAGCATCCCCGATGTGAGCACGAAGCGTTTGCAAAGCCGACTCCCTCGACCAGACCGACGATCGCCATGCGTGGAATCGACTTAGTGGCATAGCACTTGCCTGGTCGCTGGTTTCTCGGCAGCAGTGGTGAAGGAGCTGGGCTTGTGGCTGCAGGGTCCGGGATTGTGATGATTCGACGATCGTTTTTAGGAACGAAATGCTGCCTGCTTGCTGGGAGCTTGTTTCCCTTCGGGACTTGGCTGTGTTCGGGTCCATTGGCTTATATGCTTAGTTGCTGCAAGGGAAAACAATATCCCGTGCAGCTAAAGTGCTCAGAGCACCTGACCCCCGCACTGCCTGGGCGGGAAGTCTTAGCGTTCGTTACGGTGTGGTCTGAATAAGTCTGATGTGTTCCGATTTTTTGGAACTAGTTGGCCATTTTCCAATCAATTTCAATGGTGGCAACTGACGAGACCCCACAAGATCATACAAGAGCTGCTGCTGATTTTGCCAGATGCGCGTCGGACAAGAAATCCAGGGATACCTGCAGTCACGCTTGTCGCAAAGCAATCGTTAGAAAACATATCTGACACAACCACCATCATAGTCGCCAGCAGCGGCATCAGCAACATCTTCATCATCAGCATCAGCACACCCATGTCACCGTCATCATCCTCATCAGTGTTCAAAAGCTACCCGCAAACGCGGCAATTGACAGCGATAAAATTTCTTGATGACAAGTAGAGACAGCAAGAACATCTGCATTCTACTAACAACAGAGGTAGCGGTGTACCTGGGCTGAACAACAGCAACTAGCAACAACTATAGGACTATGTATACTAAGTCTTTAGGTAAGAACTCAGTGCATCAACTTCGGACCTAACCTGCTGAAGCCTTGCCGGTGTCGCAAGGCCATTTCCGTGGCTTTGGCAGCCCACTGTTCCCAGGGGGATCGGCGCCAGGACGAGTTCAGTTGCAGAGTCGGGGCAGAGTGCTTGCAGGGTTGATTTAAGTAGTCTATAAGTAGTCAAGTCCTGGCACAAATGCCTTCCATACATTATTTTCGTGCTCGCACGGTACGTGCTCCATGCTCATGCAATGTCACCCGTGGGCTTGCTGTGGGTATACTGAGCTTTCCAAGTGGATCCCAGTGGATGCGTGCAAGGTGGATCGCCGCGCTGTTTGCACAGAAAGACAAAACGCGACATGCAAAAAGCCCAAAGCACCTATTCAGGACAAGCGTCTGCGACTAGAGCATTTTCAAGGCTTGGAATCGATTTTTGTTCGTAGAAACTTCGTACCCTAACAACTGCAACCAAACCTTAAAAATCCAGGTTGGCAGTTTCTCATGTGCTGCATCATCATCTGGCACCATTACTGCAACCCGACCGACTGCGGTTCGGGACAGGAGGGCTGCACACAGTGTCAGGCTGCCCGGGTTCACTTTTGATTCAGATCAGGTTGAGTGACACCGGGTTAGGTCGGTTAGGTCTTCTTCCGTCGCTTTATCAGCATTTGCTGAGCATGCGACAGCAGACAGTATTTCAGTTTCTGGCGTGGAAACTCCAAACTCCGAATCTGAGTGCACCAAGGCAACCCTAGCATCTTCTCGCAATTGGCATATTGCTCCGTGACGTTCTTCGTCTTCTTTTCGGGCGTCGTGACGCAGTACGCGTATGTAGTGCCTTTGAGTCATCAGAGAAGAAGGGATCGGGAGGCAGGGTCGATGAGACAGAGATTCCGTCACCTCCGATTCGGCGATGTGTCATGACGATGCATGTTCTTCGCTTCTGATTGGGCAGTATAGAGCCGCAGGGATGTTCTGCGCTGATCCAAGGACAAGATGTCTGGTGTCAATGCACACCTGCTTTCATTCTACTTGCGCCGAATCGCTCGAGTTCTTCCGATGTACTATGGCACCTCGTCTACAATCTTCCGTTATTTTTCAGAAGTGAGGCGGTGGGCAGCTTGGTTGTCCCAGTTTGCCATGCAGTGGCAAAACGGGTAGGCTTGGCTGCCACACGCATCTCGTGCGAGGAAGAGGCACCATGCTTGAATAGGGGATGCGGAAGGATCATGTGTCAAAAAAAGCTATGCAAAGATCATTCGTGCAGGGGTTAAGATTGATGTTTCTGGCTGAGTTCGGGAGATCTCAAGACAGAGCTGCAGAGTCCAAGGAATTCACTTCCTGGTGTTGGCTTTGTCGGGTAAATCCCTGGCAACCGACTTCCAGGACTCGGCTGGGCCATCCCAACATGGGCGCTAACCCTAGAAATGGCAACTTCACGTAGTCCAAGCCTGCTGCGCGAGGACTCGGTCTTGATGATTTGCACTTGGCATGGGTCCTCTCCTGCCACAAATTTTCCTGCATGGACGGTCTGCGCGCTGGTGTGGCGCCTGCCTTGCACTACATTTTCGTGCCTGCAGAGTTCAGTGATGAGGTTCAAGGTGAGGGGGTTCAGGATCGTGGCTCGGAGACGGACGCGAAGCACGCGTAACTAGTAGCCCGCGCTTTTCGGAACCGGGCCAGCGCAATCAAGTGTAGCAGCGCGTGAAGAGAAGAGCTGTGCCTGACTCTCGAGTGTCTCCTTTGTCAATTTGATGGTGATTTCGCCAAGAGTTTGAATGATGCCGACACCCAATGTTGACGCACACATGTGAATCGGCGCCATGACCTTCAAGCCCTTCTTGTTCCCAGCCGGAGCTTCAAGGTGCTGGTTGTTTGCTCCACTGCCTTCCCGCCTCCTGTGCTGCATACGACAGCGTGGCTTTGCTGCGCTTCCTTCTCAGCCATGCCTTGGTCCCTCATGATACCCCTGTTTGCCCATAGGCCCTCAAGTAGTTCCTTTTTGGGGTTCATATATAGAATCCTATAAGGTAACCCCAAAAAGGAACTACTATGGGGCCTATGGGTGGTTTGTAACTACTCATCCCGTCGCTCCTTGGCACAGAATGCGAACAGGGACCGCGTTCAATCATGAGGTTTCGGGAGCAGCGTGCACTACCCGATGGCCCTTTGGAGCTGTTTGATGACGCTGGGCTTCTGCGATGAAGTGCAGCCTGGCACGTAGCGGCTGGAGCAAAGAATTGTTCGAGAACTTGAAAGGCCTTCAGTGAGCTAACTTGAGAAGTCGGGAGCTTGGCTTCATTATCGACGAAAAACCCCAGTCATAAAGCCGCTGTGCAGGCGAAGGGAAGTAACAAAGAAAATCCAAAGTGGTGACAAGTAAGACTTATTTACGGTACTGGGTTGTTCGATAACAGGAAGCTATGAAATTGGGACATGACAGGATACTGTCAAGTCTGGACTCCTGTCTAACGGAGTGCGAGTCTACTTCATGACGGAGTTTGCTATTTAAAGTGCTTCAGTCCGTGCACGATTCTTCGCACGCACTGCTTGGTTCAGCGGCCTAGTCTCACTTTCGACATCCTAACACCGGTGCTCAAGGTGGGCTCGCCTTGCTCCTCGAATTGCAATTGGACGTTATGACTAAACCCTTAAACCCCAAACCCCCTAGAACCACAACCGCTGAATTGCTCCAGAGATTGCGAGCGCACTAAGATGCCTGACCCGGACCTCCCTCTAATGGTTCAGATTGACCGCTGATGCTGCTGCTGCTCCTACTCCTACTCCTACTGCAACTCCTACTCCTACTCCCCCTACTCCTACTCCTACTCCTACTCCTACTCCTACTCCTACTCCTACTCCTACTCCTACTCCTACTCCTACTCCTACTCCTACTACTCGTACTACTACTACTACTACTACTACTACTACTACTACTCCTGCTACTACTACTACTACTACTACTACTACCAGGTGATAAGGACCTTCGGACTTGGCCCAGACAGTGTTGAGAAGCTTCCAGTCGTCGGCCTCCAGTTCTCTTAGCCTTCGGTTCAGCCATTCAAGAGGCTGTACGGCCGGTAATATAGAGGCTTAAATGTTTACCAATACTGTTGTAGAGGTTCCTTATTATAACTATGATATACCCCCAAACCCTAGTCTAGTCATTAAGGCCTCTATAGTATGCACATCTTCTAGCATCTCCTCTCCTTGCACAAGTCCTCACCCCTAAAACACTTCCAAGGGCAGCAGGGGGAGACACACCCGCACACAGACAATTTTGTAAATGTGTGTGTGTATGTATATATATATATATGTATGTATATCTATATCTATATTTACCTACAATTATTATACACATATGTATGTATGTATGTATGTATGTATACAGCTGTATGTGTGTTTATGCATGTCTACAGGATTTGCTTACCGAGTTCTTTGTTTGTTCATTCATCAATTTGTTTATGTGTCTGTAAATCTGTGTATATTGTGTATGTGAACATGTGTGTGTGTGTATATATATAGATGTTTGCATATGCAGATTTCATCTCATGGATTTCGGAGATGGGCTAAATGCATCCCTAGCCGTGCCTGATGTTGAAGGCATATCGACAAGATGAGGACATGGACTTGGACTACTGGTTCTATGCCGCTTGTTTCATTGTTTGCCAGGTCCTTTCTTCCTTTAGATAATATAGGGGCCTAAATAGTTGCCTATACTATTCGGGGGGTTTCTTAATATAATGATAGTATAATGGACCGCAAAACCCTATTCTCATCTATGTCGCAGCACGCCGATCTTGGAGAGCACAGGTTTGGAAGGCGTAAGAGCTCGCCTTTCAGGCGAACCGTTGAACCGGGACCCAAAACCTTGTTGCACCGAGGAGACAAAGCACAACGTCTTCATATTCTGCTTGGGCATGGGCGTGGCAGAGGCTCTGGCAGATGCTGCTTGCTTAGGCAAATCTCTCCAGACATCATCTAGCTTGTTTCCAAATTCAGCTAGAAGTTTGCAGCGGAAATTGTGGCTTCCGCCGGCCACTGGCGTTTGACATTTTGCTTGAAATTCGCGAACGAGCAAGCGAAGCCAAGCAAAGCTAATAAGGAGAATCCAAGCCTGGTGCATAGAAGTGCGGAGCAGCGCCAACTCTAAAGCCAACTGCCTGTCTTGCTGCAGTTGGCCCAGCACTTGCCCGATGCACCGCATATGGCGTGGTTTTGGCCCATCTGCTGTGATGTGACCTTGTCCCTTGTCCGGAGAGAGAGGCTTGCTCGACGAAATGGCAAGGTCGTCCGCTCGATGATTGCATCTCCAGCATGGGACCCAAAGCCCTTCATCAACGCAGCATGCGCTCACTAAAACACACATCCCGGGCTTGGGTTCCTGTGGAGCCAGTGCTGTGCATCCAACAAGAAAGTGAAGGGATTATCCCAAGGGTCACTCTAAGGGCTATTACGGCTTATTGATCCTGCGGTTATTTAATGTACGATAACGGTTCTGATGTCGTTGCGCCATGTCCCGCACGAAACCCGAGGCCGTTCACGGTGCAAAATCTGCAAGCCTGCGAAGTCTACCTGAACCCGTGCTTTGCTAATCCTTGGACTGACTTGTGCAGTAACTGTTATCAAATATAATTTAGACTACACCCAACAGTCAAAGCCCTAGTTCGTCATCCCCTTAAATCCTTTAGCCTTGAAATCCTAAGTTCACCCAAGGCCCGTGAGTTCGAATCTCAACGCCCAAACTCAGGCTTACGACCCTGGCCCTGACGGCCTCCTGGAAGCAGGGCTCGCCTACCTGGGGCTTCAGCTATTGGAGTGGCTCCTTTGCGCTTGGGATGCAATACACAAGTAGTGGTTTTAGGTACAGGATTCAATGATTCCGGGTCGATCACTGGATATGATAGGAGGGCCGCAAGTGATGACTAGAAGACGATGATGGCAGCAATTGCATTGCTGCCGCTCCAAACCCGTTAATATTACGACCGCTGCTGCTGCTGCTGCTGCTGCTGCTGCTGCTGCTGCTGCTGCTGCTGCTGCTGCTGCTAGTACTGCTACTTCTACTACTACGACGACGACAACTGCTACTACTACGACGACGATTACTGCTACTACTACTCCTAATCCTACTGCTTACTACGACGACGACGACGACGACGACTACTTACTAGCAGTAGTACTAGTAACTAGTACTAGTAC